TTATATATACCATTCATGTTTGTTTATACTTAAGTATTATTCATAACTACAAGAAACTGCAACACAGAATAACAAACACAAAAGGTGTTTAGATAAATCAAGGTCTATACTTTTAATATAGTATTATATCAAGTAGCCTTTGAGAACTGACCAAGGACTATATGTCTTCAAGAAAACCACACTGCTAAGTTACAAAATCTTTACAGTTATTTATGACTAAGATAACTTAAAACTATTTAAATTTTATCTTTATTTTGCAAATGAAAACTACAAGAAGATAAGTTTTACACTCAGCACCCTAAGTGTTCACCAGTTTTACCACACAGTACCGAGTCCCCCTGTACAATACTCTTGGAAAGCATTTTCTTTCAGCAGTACTTAAAAGGAATAAAGGTTTCTGCCAAACTAATGTAAATAATAAATCCTATAGAGTGCTTTAAGAGTGCTGTGAAATAACTATATGACATTGCTAATGTCTGTTCCAAAGTATAAATGTGCAATTCTGTGGAATTATGGCCACCTGGGAATTTTGCACCTGAATATATGTAAATAACATGAACCATTTTACACTACAGGTGCATTCCTTTTGTATTGTTTACACTTTCATCTAATTATATTAAATGATACTATTCAAAGCATTAATGAAATTTCTAATTCTACTGGGGTTTACTGTATACTAACTGTATGGTCTTGCTTCAAATGTGGTATTTAATACCAGTATTTTCACAGCACGTTTGTTGCAAATGTAAAATATATCTTGGGATATACAATAACTACAAAATTCTAAGATACAAAAGTAAATTGTTGTTGTTGTTTTGTACAATGGATATTTTTAGGTTGAAGGTGGATTTTTACTAATCCTTCTTACCCTTCAATAGAGTGATTAGAGTCCAAAAACCAAACTAAAGGTGCAAAGGGCTTTCAACTAACATTTGCTTTGACGTTATCAGTCATTATGATTTAAAATAACTTACTGGTGAAGCATGACCTATAGGTCTGTTGTTTGTGTAATATAATGTCACAAACAATCTGCTTATACTTACTAGTGCTTTTGTGCCATAATTTAACTTCAACTTTCAAGGATAAAACCTATGATAGAACTTTATCTAAGATAAACAAAAATATTAAAGATGTTATTTCAAAATGTTGACCTACATTCCTCTAAAATCATGGAAGATCAAGAAGTAATCCTCATTCAAAAAATGTAAAAGTCATGCAACTCCTCGTGGAAAACATTTAATGTTTCACTAAACATCAACTGCAACAAGCACCGAAGCTCTTGATCATGTAGCTTACTTATTACATGCTTATTTTAAGAATGCAACATTTATAGTGTAACAACAACACAATTCATGCTGTTTCAACAACCACAGCTGAGTTGTAATGGTTCTCTCATGCCATGTATGATTAAACCCCTTGTATGAATCATATACTAACAATGATCTGCCATATTTTGAGTGTAGTTCAAAGTTCAAAATTTCTAAAGGTTGTGTGGATGCTCTGATCCTAAGCTGTCACTTCAGCCTGTCTCAAAAGTGTTTTGAGTTCAAGTTAAGGTGAGATCATCAGCCAATAAATCTGTGTGATACACTCAGTTCTGAATTACTTCATTCACTCTATGTCAATGTGGTCTTACATTACTACCCATAAGGATGAAATAAGGGCCAACTGCATTTGCAAATAGCCTCATAATAGCATCCAGAATTTTGCCCTTATACCTATGGCTTGTAATACTAATAACATGTCCTTAGATGGTGTACAAATCAGTGAAGCCATGAAAGTGAATGCCAGCCTATACTGTGACTGAACTAGTCTCAGAGCAGCATACAGGGCAATGCAAGTTGCTTTTTGTTGTTCTTTTTTTATATTTTGTTCCCCAGATGGTATGAAAAGGGTGGTACATTCATACTGTATTGCAAGCAGAAAGAGGGCTCATATTTGAAGAACAAAGAGTTCACTGGTGAAGCAACTGCATGTTTTTAGGTAAATTTTACAATTCCTTCAGTATTTTTTGTAGTGTCAAAAGAGTTTAAGAAAGAAACTAAGAAAGTTAGGTTTCTAGGTATGGTACACATATATAAAGAAATGGCGTAAGTAAGGATGCCTGTATTAAGAAATTAAGTCAAGAACTAGGCAAAGCATAGTTAGCTGGTTAGTTAGTATTGAGAATCACAAGTTAAGATTTATAAAAAAATGAAGCTAATGACAAGCACCCAGTGAAGAAGCTGAGAAAAATGCTAGTCACGAGTTTGACAGTGATAAGTTACTGATGCCAATCTAATAGTACAGTAACAGCAACTAAAAAGTTTATGATAGCAGTTAAAATCAGCACTTTCATGTAGGATTTGTTACTACAGACTAGAGAAGGCAACCGAAGCACTCACTATCACGGTATCCAAATACTTGAGAATTTTGGTTCTTGTTTTGAAAATGCCCGATGAGTTGCAGAAATTAGCCAATGAAGTGGCAGAACTAATTACAGGTAGTTAGGAATACTATTTGGAAAATGGAAAGGATACAAAGAAAATATAGTATAAAAACTCATGTCTGGAGCTAAAATTCAGTTCTCCTGGACAAATAGAGGTTCTCCCAGGGCTGATAACAGTTCTCTAGCTTGGAACACCAGATCTCCAGAGGCTATCAAGTTCTTGAACACCATGAATATGGAGGTATCCAATCTACACCGGCTCAGCTTTGATGTAAGTAGAAATGATATTTCTCTTGCTTAATCAATGTAGTTTTGGGTAAAATAGTAAAGTACTCATATATAAAGGAAGTTAATGATTGTAACAGAGTGAAATAGTTTATATGTATAAACTGTATTGGTCAATGGTGTTTAACTTGAAAGTGAAAATTGGATTGGTAAGGATTAACGGATTATTAAATGTTTACTGTTGATATTAAAAGTGTATATTATGTGTAAGAACTCAAATATATTGATATATTTTGTTGAATATCAGCCTCAGAATCTGTTTCTTTAGTCTAACCATAAATCTCCTTGAGTTAGTGACTTGTGAGCTCCACTCACCACTGCATTCCTCAAATAAAGAAATTTGGTGCAATCGGAAGTAAAGTCGAAGCTCCAACTACTATCCCTAAGGGCACTGCCCATTACACTGGTCCTCTGTTCATTCAACATCGTCATGTGCTCTAGCCAGTCAGTGTGTTCAATGCCTTATATTTAAAGGTGAGTTTATGACTGTTCTTCTAGCATATAAACAAATGTTATTTAAGCATCTTCTGATTTCTTCTTTATAAATGTTAACCCTATTTATTTGCTGAAATTATTTCTAATAAACCTCTGTCACCTAGTACTAACTGTCAGGTAGCAGTTTTGTGCTTCTGCTGTTAACTTGGGCTAACCACCCCTGCAGCTTCTTTGGACCACACCAGTGTCCAAATAGAAATTCCAGGCTCTAATTATAGCACATTTAGAAAATATCAAGTGCAACTTCTATTTGGCAATAAGAAACTCCATATTCAGCATGAAAATGACTTTTGATAGTTTGTTTTGTATACTTGACTATGCTAAGGCATAGTTGAAGGCCAATTTCCTTCAAGCTTAGCAAGTGAAAATTGTCTTTGGACAACAGTACTACCAACTGACCAGACACTGTTACCTTAATCTTTTACAGTACAATCTACCATATTGTCTTTTATCATGTGCTTAGAAACTTTGCTGGAATATACATTTAATAAAATGTTAAAAATGTTCATATCAATCTTGGGGAAGAATATTATTATTTAACCTTAATGTTTGTAGAAGAGTGTATTTCAAATTTAATTGTAATATTTCTTCTACGTGATAAGGAATGGGCATAGTGTTATTCACTCTAAACAAATATATATATATACACATAGTCTCAGCAATCATGTAGCATCTCACCTGTTAGGTATAAATAAAAAAAACACCATACTTGTCTGGGAAACAGTCTGTAGCACAATGTTAACACAAACAGAGATGGCCAATTCCAAAAAGGAACAGTGATTGGATGTTATTTGTCAGGAAGATCTGGCAAACATACTGGATATGCCCACTACTACTGTGCAAGATGAAAGACTAGAGTTTATACACATAATCTTTCCCGTAAAAGTCAACCTAGGAAAGTGATGCCAAGTTCAGAAAAAACACTTGCAAGAGTGATCAGGTAGAAATGATGTTCAAACATAACACACATCAAATGAGAGTTCATCCACTTGACTGGGACTGTAACAGATGCAAAAATTGTGTGCATAAGGGTACATAAACTGGGTTTTTTATGTCATGGTGTGAGGTGCCTAAAGTGGTGCGAACATGTGAGAAACAACTAGGTACAGCTTTGAATAACTGTTATTGTATTCATGGACAAGTGGTGAAAGCCACATGAACAATGTTATGTTGATTGTGTGATACCCATTGTAAAGGGATCTAATGGATCCATCATGATATGAGAGTGTTTCTACTTATATGGACTTGGTTCGGTGGTTATCAATACGGGTCGCCATCACACCAAGAAATACTTGACATCATACACAACACAATAGTTTAGCAGTTTCACAGAAATGGATCTTTGCTCTTCCAAATTATTACAGACTGGTTTCTGGATAATGAAATGGACCTGCTGCCATAGCTCCTCAAGAGTCCCAGCTTCCTACAGAGCCACTTTGGAATATTCTGGATGCTCAACACACAAGAACACAGGATCTACTTTCACTGGCTCTTACATGAAAGTAAGAATGGTGAGCTATTCTATAAGATGTATATCAGGAACGGGTCACAAATGCAATCTATATATAGGTGGCCATATAGTGTACATATAGGCACATTTTAATTAAAGAATTTGCGAGCTAAAAGTTAGACATAGAGTGAATCAAACTTGTTTCATCATGATAATAGATCAGCACTAAACAAATATAGGATAACAACTACCCAATTTCTGGGACACACCAGCATATTATAGGCTATAATACAGATTATTAACATTCAAAAGCTGCAATAAACTATTTGATATGAAACTTACACAGTTTGTAGGTTGAAGGTTACAAATCACTAAGCGTCCACCATTTTTTTTAGTAAGAAGAGGTAATCCTCCACTAGGAACTATTTGAAGGGTTGTTCCTAAACAAAGGCTAAGATCGGCTGCCCTAAATGACAAAGATTAAGAAATTTTTACAACAAAACATCACAGTTTTACAGTAACTTACAGAAATATTCAATTTCTTTAAATTAGTTAATATACTGAGATTATTGTACAGTGTTCGAAATTAAACACTTGAAGGGTAGACTACAACAACAGCGATATAAGTACTCTTAAAGTAATAAATACTTACTGATCTACCATGTAGTTGTTGTTCTTATCTATAGTTTTACTTAACTCTTTGATGTGAAAATAAGTAGATTTGTACCCATAAACAGAACTGAATGATTAGTAGATTTTCCTGATCCATTAATTATCAAGCTCATTAATCAATTACATTCAACTAATTGATTATTCCCAAATGATAGGACCACCATAATCCACCATGGGAGGTGCAATTGGTATAGTGATGCTTTCTCTCAAACATACTGTGACCATTCATATAAACAGCCCTTCAACTGGCTACACAAATTAATCACTCTTGCACTGTTCAACTGTTTTCATTTCCAGAATTACTTGACCACATTAATAATTTCACACAGTGGGCCCACAAAATCAGGCATGCACAGCAAGTTTAAGCATTTTTCATTCAAATATAATTTTGTTTTCAAACAGTGATAAAATAGTCTTGTATTAGTGTACAAAGCTATATGATATAATTCTATTTAAAGTATAATTGTAACCTTGTAAATGCAGTTTCAAATACCTGTGAGGCTGCCATAACATATATTACATATATTTTGAATTTTTATGTTTTAAAGAAAGTTTGTAATATTTTAAAAAATAAGAGATTTATTAAATGACAGTTAATCTTTCAAGGTTCAATTTGCAATTTATTTATTTATTTTGAAGAAATTCTGATGATATGAGAAAAAATTGTACAGCCTAGTCATAGTTCTGCCACAACTCAGATGGTTAATAGAGCAAGCACGTTTGGGGGGAACTGGAATCAAACCTGAGACTCTTGAATCACAAGACAATCCCCTAAACACAGGCCATGGTAGCCTGAAGCTGAACAAACTTGAATTAATCAAAAAAATAATAATGAGAAATCATAATGGCAATATTTCAATTACTTGGATACTAGATAGTTGGAAAAATCTAAAACAAAATAAATAGAAAAGTTAATTTTGATTAGTTGATTTTTTTGTGAGTCATGACACTAATTAATTAAGCTTAACAAACTCAAGTTAGCAGAAAATAATAATAAGAAATTATAATGGCAATATTTCTTACTATCCATATTTTGGATAGTAAGAATATTCAATACAATAGTAATTGCAAATACTAAAATACCTTTCTTCAACTGAAAACTGTCAAACTGCTGTATCGGCATGATATTCCCTTCGCTTCAATCAGAATCCTATCTTCCAGTTTCAAGCTTTTCTCTTTTACATAAGTTGAGTTACATGCAGTTACTCTATCACTTGCAACTTTGAAGTTTAATGTACTCATGTTCCAGGAGTTGTAGCTAATAATATGCTGTCAGTAAGACTGTTTTATTGAGTGTGTTAAAAGAATAAGTTAGTGCTTCTCAAATACACTCAAAATTCAGTTCTGTCCTACTCTCAGGGAGAATCCTCCCTTCTTACTTCCGTTCTTCTGCAGGAAGCCACCAGTCTAGGATGGCTGAATAAAATTTCCAAATCTTTCTTCACTCCTACTCAATATCTTGTTCACCTGGGAGTTTTATTCACCTCCTTTCTCAACTTTGCCCAACCCTCTCCCATCTACCTGTGAATTCTGGAACTTTTGGTTACCAGGATTCACGCCTCTCCTGCTCATAGTGCATAAGAGATTCTATCACTTTTTGGCACCATGGCTTCACTGGAACTGCTTAACATATGTACCTCTTCCATTGGTCTTTGTGCAACTAGTGGATCTACTCACAGGATCCATTAACCTCAATGATTCACCTGTCTCCTTAAGAATCTGTCTTGGAAGTTGTACTGCTACAATACCACAGTCAGTGTTTCATTACCACTACCTACACCTCTTCACCGATGATTCCCTCTCAGCCTGGGGAGCATCTCTGAACAACAATCTCACATTTGGCACTTGGACTTAAGACAAGTGCTGTCTCCATATTAATGCACTCAAACTTCTAGCAGTCTGTTGAGCATGTTTCTATTTCTTAACACTCCAAATGGATCTTTTAGTTATGATCCATTCTAACTCCATGGTTGTTTCTTATACCAACCATCAAGGAGGTAGCTGATCCAGAACCCTTTGCTTCCATACCTTGGACCTTCTCTATTGGGCCAATTCTCAACAGATTCATATTATCACCTGTAATATGCCTGGCACTATGAACCTCATTGTGAATAACTTCTCTTGCCCTAGCTCCATATATGCTCACTGTGAGATGGGGTGTTCCACAAGACCATTTGAGGTATCCTCGTAGTATATCTCCTTATCTACCTGTCTTTTTTGTCAGATCCAAACTGTACCTATTCCATGAATCATCATGGATGAAGTTAGCACCAGGAAGTGTTTTGCCTGTTTCCCTGGCTTACACTTATCAGTTCCTAACTACCAGGATGATGGACCATGGAGAACCCTCACCTATTGGACTCATACGCAGGGGTAATATACAATTAAATACCAATATGATGGAAAATTGGGCAGTGGTGTAGTGTAATGATGTCATTATGCAGTAGCATAGTTCATAAGAATTTTCATGACAGAAGATGGGAGTTTGCCAAAGGCTTATGGCATACAAATTTCTTAGTACAAGTCACTCTATAAATATCATCTATATCACTTGTACACTCTTTCCGGGGCCTGACTGTGTTCAGTTCAGTTGAGGTGAGCACACACTACAATGTTGTGCCCTTGTCCTTCAGCAACAATCTGTTTAATCGAATTGTGGCATACAAATAATATGACACTGTGCTTTCCTCCTTTAGCCTGCAACTGTCCAGTTGAGTTGAGGTGAGTATGCTCTAAAAAGCTGTGTCCTCCTCTTGCAACTGATGTCTGTTCAGTTGAGTCGAGGTGCGTACAATACATACTATACCACTATCTGTGGCATAACTACTGTGTCCTCCTCCCACAGCTGGTGTCAGTCCAATAAATTCTTATGGCAGAGTTGAGGTGAGCACACATGGTACAATCTGAACTTTCCCTAACCACACTATACATATTGCCTCTCCAACCTCTTGTGTTTAAGTACTCTGATGGCCAACTTCTTATTCTGCCCATCCCTGCATCACATAGGGCTCATTTGCCTCTTTCTCCCTTTTTTTCCCAGGTGAACAGTATACCCTAGATGAAATGAAATGCAGTCTCTCATGGGTGTGCCCCTATGAAACCCCTGCTATCAGATGTCACACTCTATGGGCTTCCTTCAGGCAATTTCTATATGGAACTCATCTAGGTAAATCTTTGCAATGGATGCTCCACCACTTCAACATCGGATTCTTGCTTAACCATGTGCAGAAGTGTGGTATCCTTTCAGAATTTAACATTTTCCTTACCTGAAAATGTATTTCTAATAGATAATCACCTCTTCACACCCATCCTCCCCATTTATGGTGCACTTTTTATTCCTTGTCTCATCAAAGTAAGATGTTTTTGACTGCTTGACTGCAAATTCATAAGGGGAGCTGTTGTATGTGGAAATGTGTCACCCTCCTATTGGTGGAGGGCTTTTGCTGCATAGTGATGTCACTGTAGTAGCACAATTCATGAGAGAAGATGGGAGTTTGCTAAAGGCTAGTGGCATATAAATCTCTTTGGCAGATGTACAGGGAAGATACCTTAACCATGTGAAAAAATGAGTATCTATCGGAAATGCATTTTCAAGAAGGAACATGTTAACTTCTTCCTTATAAAACCTATACAAAGATCTTTATTTGCATTATGAATTGTGTGTTGCATTAATCCTAGAATTACTGATGGACCTCATTGGCTTTTAAGTTGCATTTTTTTTAATTATGTGCCAAACTGCTTATGGTTATATGAATTTATTAAAAGGCATATACTAATTTATGAGTGACATAAAAATAGCTTAGAGAAAACCACTATCATTACTGCAATTAATCTGACTATGTGAAATCATTTTATATGCATTGTACATAAAACATCAGAAAAATGGTTTCAACCACATTACTCAATCCAGTCTTCACATTGAGTGTAGATAGGCAGAGATACTTAATCAATATGATGCAATATATGGATTCCAGTAGTATAAAAAAAAATCAGTAATTTGGAGGTTAAGTTTTGTCTTTTTAACCTAAGAAAAAGTAAATGCTGCAAAGAGTTCATATATTACAGTGAACATGAAAATATTTATGAAATTCTTCTACCCCTGTTACTCAGACATGATAAAAGCAGGCAAATTTTAACAATTTATACCTTAAACACTGAATAATGGTGTATGCCATAGACATCAAAATGTACAAATGATTTGAAGATTAAGATTATAAAAATATTAAGTGTCAGTATTCAAACTCCTACAAAATCTGCTTGAGACTTTTATGGCCAATTAGATCCATCAGGGTCACTGTGGTAGTTATTACAGAGAGGATGTTTAGTAGAATAAATATTAAAAAACTGAAAACCTGAAAAAATATTTTTTACAATTTAATTCCTGCATGCTTCATATGATTTCTACAAATTCAAATCTTCACAATGAAAGTTTATTTACCTGGAATGAGCATCAGCCAACTCGTAGTCTTTTTCGGGAAGTTCATCCTCCCAGTCTAATATTGTGTCATGGAGTTTACCTCTACACATTCGTCCATTTGGTTTTCTCCAAAGGCATGCTTGATTAGTGCACTTCTGGCCCACAGTCACTGAAGCTTTACCTCTGATGAACAGCCTTTAGTGTAAATACAACAAACAATTGTCAACAAATATGTAATCTCCATAAATTTTAATATCAGAAAAAAAAAACTTCTGTACTATACCTTAATAGTGTTTCAAAATATACAACTAGATTCCAGTCTTAATTGAGCAAAATTAATTTTACTTTATTTTTGAAATGTATTTTTCTGGAACATCTCAATACTCTGTATTATTATTATTATTTTGACTAAGTTTCAAGTTCATAAATGTAACAGAAATATTTGCATATTATCTTTAAAACTGTCAAATTTATAATTTTTGAAAAAAAAAATCATTACAAGTCACTGGAAGTAAGTTGTTTAATAATAGCAATTTTCACTGCATTCATTATTTACTAGAAGCACTGCCAAGGAAAAGACACATGATATTTAGTACTTAAGTATTCTCTTGAAAATTGAGTGATTTTGATACCTGACTGGAAAAAAAAAACAATATAGGCTCCACATGTATATTTTATTAATATTTCATGTCAGCATTAGGGACGCATTATTATGCGATGCTCATTTAAAAATCCACTAGTCAAACTTTCATTTATAGCTCAAAATGCACAAGAATTATGAAGAAACTGATGCAAGAGTGGACATTCAAAATACAACTGAATTGGTCATTTTTTTGAGACACCACACATGTAACCACAAATGAAAATTTTGTTGAAGCTTTAATAGTACTAATATATTAACTGAATTCAGTACACAATAAATCAATTCTAAGTTACACTACCAGAGATTTTTAAAAAATTACATTAATTAAAACAATATATGCTACCTGCAAATCAAGTCAAAAGTATTTTACATTTGTGAAACTATTTCTGTAAACTAAATTTTATAAGAAAAGAAATCAAAATATTTTCAAACTTGAAAAAAGTTTGACTTTTTTTAACCAACAATTACACCTAAAATTTCCTTGTTACATGCATGAAGTTTGGTTTGAATTTTGCGCAAAGCTACACGATGGCTATATGCGCTAGCCGTCCCTAATTTAGCAGTGTAAGACTAAAGGGAAGGCAGCTAGTTATCACCACCCACCGCCAACTCTTGGGCTACACTTTTACCAATGAATAGT